GCCAGGAAGGGCAGCAGGAAAGGGGAGAGGAAGATAAGTCGATTAATGGGTACCAATATAACGTTTGACGTGAGATAAGATTTAGTGTTTGATAGATCAGTAGTGTGACTATAGTTCACAAGAATCTATTGTCCTTTTTTTTCCTTTTTTTTTTTTTTTTAGAAGGAGTCTTGCTCTGCTGCCCAGCCTGGAGTGCAATGGCATGATCTCTGGTCACTGCACCCATGGTCTCCCGGGTTCAAGCAATTCTCCCTGTCTCAGCCTCCTGAGTAGCTGGGACTACAGGCACATGTCACCACACTTGGCTAATTTTTGTATTTTTAGTAGAGATAGGGTTTTACTATGTTGGCCAGTTTGGTCTTGAACTCCTGACCTCAAATGATCCGCCCTCCTTGGCCTCCCAAAGTCCTGGAATTATAGGCATGAGTCACCACGCCCGGCCTGTTGTACACTTCAAAATAGCTAGAAAATAATCATTAGAATATTTCTAGCATAAAGACAAATAGGTAAGACAATGAATATCCCATCTTTACAAATTATACTAGTGAATTAAATTATCACATATATTATTACATGTATTATGCATCAACAAAATTTGTTTTTACAAAGAAATAACTTGAGAGAAAAAATACATCGAGGAAAAAAATATGCTCACAGCCGCGAGGTCGAGAACATCCTGGCCAACAGGGTGAAACCCCGTCTCTACTAAAAATACAAAAATTAGCTGGGCGTTTGGCACACGCCTGTAGTACCAGCTACTCGGGAGGCTAAGGCGGAAGAATCGCTTGAACCCTGGAGGCGGAGGTTGCAGTGAGCCGAGGCTGCGCCACTGTGCTCCAGCCTGGCAACAGAGCAAGACTCTGTCAAAAAAAAAAATATATATATATATATGCATATATATATATATGCATGCTCACAGAGGCAGGGCTAGTTCTGGACTAGCCCCACTGAAAAATAGTGGCAGACACTGAAGTGTAAAGACAGGAGCAAGAAAGGAAGAGTAGAGAAAGAAAATTGGGTGTGTATGCGGAGATCTGGGCTGAAGAGAGTGAAAAGTGAAATTTCAGGGAAACTAGGAGAGGAGGTGTGCTTTATACTAAGGACAGAAAAGAGAATTGTTTTTTTGGTTTTTTTTTTTTGTCATGATCTAGCATGTGGCCACCTGAAAGTTAAAAGTATTTAAACATTTACTTTATTGTAATGACATCATAATTATGCAACTCATAAAACTATAATTCTTTATTGTGAGATTTCTAACAAATTGATAATTAGACAGATGGATAGATCTAAGATTACTCAAAGCTATGACACTTGCTGTAAGGCCTATGTCAGATCACATGTTCTGTGGAATTACATTACCTCTTGTTTTCAGACCCACACCTGTGCATTCTTTTCCACCTATTCACTTCTCTGAATTTAACACAAGGACAGGAAAGCAAGATATCCCCTCTCATCACCAAATCCCTTTATAGGCGTGGGAAAAAAATGCTGTCGAATATTAACTACAACTTGAATCTTAGGTCACTGACCTTAGAATGGAAAAAGAGAATGCCTCCTCATGGATATTTAAAAATCTACCTATGCAAATATACTTTATTTTTTCTGAAATTCTCATATCACTTGCTGTTTAGAAAAAAACATAATATTTTGAAACTACAGCACATAGTTTTTTTGATATTAAATTGCTAAATCATACAGTTTATGTAATTTCTTCAGTCTTTATTTTGTTATCCTCATATTTTATGCATCAAATTTCAATTCCTAAACAGTCTGAACCTCATAGCTGATTGATTCTTTCATGAAGGCATTTAAAACATGAATTGAAGTCTCAAAATGAACCAGGTGTCATGTTCATTCCTTGTCATAACAAGGTCAATAAGACATACATTTTGCTTTCAAGGAATACAGTTTCTTGTTTTGGATAACATTAAGAACTAGGGAATATGTTTGGCTTCTAATTGTTTTCATAGACTTCTACCAGTTTTTACATGGAAACATTTATTTCAGCATTTTGAGCTTATAATCCTATTTCTTTCAAATGCTATCACTGGTCGTACTGTTTTAAATTGTGTTCCAATATAATTGCTTAAATTCCATATTTTTTTGTGTTGTCATATACAAAAGAGGCTAAAAGTTTGCTATAAATTTATGTTCATTGAGGCATTGTTTACAACAGCAAAGACCTGGAACCAACCCAAATGCTCATCAATGATAGACTAGACAAAGAAAATGTGGCACATATACACCATAGAATACTATGCAGCCATAAAAAATATGAGTTTATGTCCTTTGTAGGGACATGGATGAACCTGGACATCATCATTCTCAGCAAATGGACACAAGAGCAGAAAATTAAACACTGCATGTTCTCACTTATAGGCAGGTGTTGAACAATGAGAACACTTAGACACAAAGCGGGGAGCATCACACACTGGGGTCTGTTGAGGGTGCAATGGGAGGGACAGTGAGAGAGAGGGTGGGGGAGGGATAACGTGGGGAGAAAGGTCAGGTATAGGTGATGGGGGAATGGTGGCAACAAACCACCTTGTCATGAATGTACCTACGCAACAATCTTGCATGATCTGCACATGTACTCCAGAATCTAAAGTACAATTAAAAAAATCATGGAAATATATTTGCATGTGTAAATTGAGGTTGTCTGAAATATTATCAATTAAAATTTATAATCATTTTTCTTATTTTAAATTTTGATAATTTTGAATTTGCCCTACAAGTATTTATTGACCACTTGCTATGAATCAGATACAATGGTGGGTGATGGGAATTCATCTGCATACCAAAAAGATAAATCTTTTTTAGCCTTAGCCTTTACCACATTTCCTTTCTATGAGAGGAGAGAGAGCATGTAAGGCTCGGAAATATAGAATTAGATTATTATAGTGTAATAGGAGATTTATATGATTTTAGATTTATAATAGCATCTAAAATAAATGACATAAATATGAGACAACATAGAAAGCATGGCATGAGAAAAAGTTTTATTTGATTCTGATTTTGGTTTACTTTTTTTAAAAAGTGCATAATAAACAAGAGGTATGGAAGTAGGGCTATTTGAGTGGAGAGGATACTTTACTTTCAAACAATTATTGTCCCTTTTCGGTAATTCAACCTTTTAAATTTGTTCATTCAAAACATTTATTTAATCTCTGGATGGACATATGCTGGTAAGTAGATATATAGAGGAAGAAAACACAGAAGCACATTGTTTGTCTTAATGGAATTTACAGTCCAAGGGATTGCTTAACTTATTTTGCTTTAGTGTCTGAATGTCTTATATTCATTCAATAGTTATACAAAGTATGCTGGAATTTATTACATACAAAACACCACATGGAATAGAAGGTACTGAAATTAAGAATAATAAACAAATATTGTACTCTAAGTAAGTGTATTTCTATATTTGAGCATAATGGTTTGGCTCTCTTTTTCAGATTAATTCAAATAATTTGCCATGAAATATTTATCCTGTTGTGTTTTCTTGTATATAAATTAGTTGTTATATGAATTTTTCTAGTGCTGCAAAGATTCATTAACAATCATCATTCTTTACAATGTTGATGGCTTTGTCATTTCTGAATTAAGGTATATTTTATCTTAAGTGTATAGAAATGAAAAAAGGCAGGCAACAGTGTTGAGGTTTTTTAAGCTGTTAGAGTGCTTATTTACAAACTTTAAATTTCTTCTATATTCTACTTGATTAGAAATGCTGACTATAACCTCAAATAAGCAAAGTAAACAAATGAAAAGGATTTGTTCCCTGTAAGTGACACAGGTCAACATCAAGGGCACACTCCTGATGTGGACAGGAGTCAATACGATCTGATAGTCTCCCAGTGAAATGCAAGTGAAGTCCATACTAATTAGCTTATGAATCAGACTGAAACTCAAATTTATTTGGGCCAAAAAGACTACCTACTGTCAAGCAATCAAGCACTATCCCTTTAATTGCAATTTATTCCAAGAACCACAATTTATTGATCCTAGCATACGCTTAAGCCACAGCAGTATCATTATTTGACTTTATTTTAACAGCTTTAAAAGGTTAGAAAGTTAGAGACCACTGTGAAAGATACCATTAAAAAGTTGGATTGCTAACATTGCTTAACACTCTATGCTGAGTAATATTAACTATATATATGGAATTTCATAAAAGGCAAGGGAAAAATTTAATATTAATTAGGAATTCAATATGAGCTGGTGCTTTCTATGTCAAATATTCTTTAGTAATAACAAAGCAAATGAGAAGAAGATCAATATTGCTATATGCATTTTACAGATAAGCAGCAACTTAGAGTTGTTTTGCAAATTGCCCAGAACTATAATGTCAAAATCTTAAAAGTATCTATCAGACTCTAAAGCACATGTTTAATTTCTTACAAAATTTCTTGTGTAATTTTTGCACACTGACAATTCTACAGTACTGTGCCATCTTGACACACACTTAACAATATTAAAAATGTGAAGACATAACTCATCCATATGAATTTTGCACCCAATATTGTCTTTAAAACACAAAACATTAATGTCTGAAAACTTTTATTTATTTGGTGTATTATCTTTTATAAGCCAAGTTTTTTTTCTTTATTCAGTCATTAAAGTTGTATAATTTCACTTTGTAATTTTCAGCTACTTATAAAATGTACTCAGCATAATTCTTGTAGCTTCAAAAACTATTTTTCTTTAGGTAATATCCAGTGACTATAAAGAGTGGCTTACAGTCTGACATTTCTTGTATGTACTTTCTGAGTAAGCCTTAGTAACTATTACAATTCTTCATGAGTCCTCCGTTAACCCTGGACTAGATTTATACAAAAAGGTGGAGGCCCTAGATTTTCTCTGTATTACTCAGAGCAACTTTGCTTTTAATGCTTTCACATTTTGTACTTACATAAAATTTTATTCACAGAATGAACAAACCAATACTTTTACAAAATTAATGTAAAATAATGGATCTAGCCCAATTTCCTCATTTTTTTCAGGTGAAGAAATGAAGAATCAAAGAAGTAAAGGACCAGTCTCAAAGTCACACAACTAGTAAGTAATATCTGCAAACTAGAAATAGATAATAAGAAACTGAATTCTGTCCATTGCATAATAATGGCTTCTCATTTCTGAAATGATACTTAAAACATGAAGTTATGTTCTTATCCCTGTTTAGATCACATATGGTCAGTGCACTAATGGTGTGCCACCTGGGTTCAATCTTGCTATACACTTTGGAGAAATCATACAAAGAGAATTATGGAATCTTCTGACAGTATAGCTCATGAAATGCTGGCATCCATTTGAGGACTTTCCATGTCCTAGATTCTTAATGTGAATCATCTAATTTAATCCTCACAAAAATATTGTTAAAAATGGTTTTATTTTTATTGTAGAAAGAAACTAACACTCTATGGTGGTTGGTAGTTTTTCCATATATGTAGGGCTATTTAATATCTGAGCTAGTTTTTAATTTTTAATATCTCTGACTTTGAAGATGCTCTCCTTTGATATCATACAATTTTGTACTTAGACCAACAAAAAGTAGAGACCAATACAAAGAGTATATAATCTCACACTGGTGTGATATAGCAAGCTGTCCAATACAGTGCGTAGTTCAAGGTGCTAAGAGAAAGCCAAATCGTGAAAGATCCACTTGGGTTGACACTGTATACGCTGTAAAGATCGATGTGCTCTTGCTATTGACTCCAGCTAGCAATTCTTTGAAAACCAGTTACTATGAGACCTAAAATATAATGACATTTACAGACGTGGGGAAACATATTGGCAACAAATGTACGTAACCGTATCACAGGTAGACATAGAGAACTTGTCCAAATAATCTGGAATGACCATTTAGAAGATAGAGGCTACTTTAGCTCATGTAGCGCAAAATAATTATTGAAAGAATTAGCATTTTTTGCTAGATGAGATGTACATAAGTGGAATTAGATGAAATCATTTTCCTTAGGAGAGTAAGAACAGAAACACGAAGGTGGAAAAAAATAGGGATATATTGTCAGTATGGCATATGCTAGCTAAGTCATAAAATATAGTTATGAAGAATAAAGTGTTATTCAGAAGGTGGGAGTGGAATTTGTTGATGGAAGCTTTTGAAGCCCAATTTTCAAAACGTATTTTTACTTTACAAACAGTAAATAGACATTGAAGATATGTTTTCTTCTTGTTGTTGTTCCTTGGTTCTAATGTACATTGCTATCGCTAGAGCAATGTGGAGAGTGAAAAAATAATGAGAGTAAGGATTCCTTTTAATCTCTTAAAAATAACAGGACTTCTCCCCACCTTTGTAGCTGTAATCACTCAGGTTTCTATAGTAGCTTTGAGGAGGACCCACTATCCATTTTCCTCCCAATTGCCCTGTTCTTCATAAATATTTGTTGAATGAATAAGTCCCCCTTCTATCTTGCCCATCCACCTTTAAAATCCCTGTCAAGTAAGGGAGATAATAGACATAAGGATAGCTTTTTATTATCCTGGAATCTTATTTCTTCCAAGATAAGAAGTCTTTCAGAGTGAAAATCTTTTTGTGCTTTGAAGATTCCTGTTTACCTTAAATTTGCACTTCAGATGAAGGGAAGGAAAAGTAAGCTTACTTTTTCCTCAAAAGAAAAACAAACAGGAAGAAGGTGATTGTATAACAAAAGAACAGCAATGAAAAAGACTTTATGCAAATTAAGAATTATTTAGCTCCTAAAAGGTCAGCTGCTTGGTTGTAACACTCAGATAGAGAAGAAAGTGGTCTGAAAGTTATCTGCCCTAATGTTAGATGACCAACACTGGGCAACTTCTGCTCCTAATGAGGATTCCTTTTTAATCTTTAGCACTCTCCTCATTTTACAACCTTTCTTCCAGGACTTATATTTATCCACTAATAAAGCTAAACAATACCACCTCAATACTATGCTGCTTATTAACTATAATTTTGCAAGTAATGACAGCTGCACTCTGAAGAATTTACTTTGTTCTTGCTTAGTTGAATTTATACCCATGAATCTTTCTTCCATGTTGAGTTTTTTTTTTTTTTTCTTTTGGTCTACATTATATTTATGACCGTGGGTCCTCTTTAGCAATGTACTCTATTTAATTTATATTCAGTATTCCAATAAGCTAAATATCCACTCTATATTGAATCTCTGCTCTACTTTCTTAAAGAAAAATATGTATTTTTTTCTCCTGTTCCAAACATGGGCTATCTCTCTCAAAAGCAATACCTTTGCCATTAGAGTTCTTTTTGCTAAGTCAATACATATTAACAATTTTGAGCTTCTAAGAAAGCAGCACTTTGATGTAGGAGCTATTCAAGAAAATTCTATATTTAAGGTTTGACATTTCCTTTGCTCAGGTATTTGCAATAAAAAGATGAGTACAGTTTGGGGTGGGAAAGAAAGATAACATTATACCTTTATCTATAGATGTGATAAAAGTCAAAATAGGCCAACCTTGTGAGGGTTTGGTGTGAACACTGAATACCTGCAGTGTGTGCCTGGCACACAAAAAATTATTTGTTGAAATGCATTATTGGCTTGTAACTGACAGGACTTTTGTCAGTTTTATTTGTCTGTGCGTGGAAGTACTATTAGTTGAAGGTTCTATTGGTATGGATAGAAATGTAGCATTAAATTTCAGGCAACTGTCTCAGGAATCAGTCCTCTGCTTGCTAGAATGTCACTCATTAGAAGAAAGGTGAAATTGTGCAGGCACTGAGCTATTGCACTTACTATACCTGACTCCTGGTAGCCAATTGTGCTGAGAACTGGCAAAGAACATGGTTTCTCAGCACTGTTTCCTTACATAACTTTGATACTGCTAGCAAGACCCAGTGGTATTCCATATATAGTCTTCTTTTTATGCATCCTCAATTGGTCTTTAAACTGAAAATAGAATGAATCTCATATGATAGAAATAAAGTTACTTCATGACTCTTTAATACCTGATATGGAGAAATAAGTGAAAATGTCTGCATTTTTCCCAACAAGATAAATTAATAAATGTTTAAAACTATGAAAATTTGAAGAATATGCAATTGTTGAAAACATATTTTAACATAAAAGACAAAATATGAGAAGCAGATTGGCAAGGAGATCAAAAGCATGGATTCTGAAAAAAAAAAAAAAACCGTAATGTGGGTAAAATTGTGGGTTCCATCATTTGCTATTTGTATAACCTTGAAGAAAAGGACCGAGCCTCATTTCCTGCACCTATAAAAACGTCTACCTCATAGATTGGCTCTTAGTGTTAAATAAGTTAATGCATGTCAAGTTTCTGACACATATGTATAAATAAGATTTAGTTTTGAGTATTACTAAAATGCTTTATGACTTAAGCATTATTTTAATTATATATAAAACTGCTGGTTTCTTTAAATTCTGAAACTGCAAAGGAAAAAAATGAATGAGTGAATATACAAAATATTGTTTTATATTAAAGTTTGCAAGAACACAACCTCCATATGTTAACATGTTAGAAATTTCTTTAGGACCTATTCAATTATACTATCTCTGTTTTGTTCACATAAATTTCCTATTCAAATGCATGAAAAGTGAATAGATAGATAGATATGATTATTTGGAACTATATCTAAATCCACTTGGTATAAGTCATTAGGTAGAGTAAAGTGTGCAATATTCAATAGTATATCTGTATCTGTATCTATATCTACATGTTTACTCACCCTTCAGATTAACATTGTAATTGGAATTTATTATAAAATGTGTACCTATATAATAATGAGGAGGAAAATTCTGTTTTATAAATGGCGTTAGCAAAGTGATTTAAAGTAATTTAATACAATATCTTCCCCACATTTAAGAAACCAAAACTGGGCCACTCAGTTTTAGGAATATAAAATTGAAAAGGAAAGGTTTTTTGTTTGTTTGTTTGTTTTTAATAAATTAAATAAGCAAGGTTTTGTAGATGCCAATATTTGCTGAAGATGCTGCAGTTGCAATCCAACTCACCTAGTCTAGTTTGTCAGATGGTTCCTTGACTGTGATCTTGAATGGATACCATCCATTCGGAATTTCCTAGGCTATTTATTTCTCATTGCACGTCTGGAACCACATCGACTATGTCTACAGAGAATGACTTTTATGCCTAACTCCAATTTCCAAAGCTCCAGTTGTCCTTCACAGTCTAGTTCTAGTATTACTTCCCAGGTTTCATAAGTGGTACTCATACCCTATTCCCTGTGTTCCCTTAGTGCTTTGTTTCAGATATAGCTTTTAATAGTGCCTACCTATTGTTATTTGCCAACATTTTTGTCTCCACTCCCCCTGCCAATTTCTTTCACTCATTCTTTTTATCTTCAACCTTCCAGCCATCTAAGACAGACATAAATATTGCGTAGACATAAATATTGCGTAGACCTAACATTCTTGGTTATTGGAGCACCATGCTTGCTGATCCTTTTTCTTTTCCTGTTATATTTTATTTGTGACTGAATTCTGGCAAATGCAAAATAGGCAAAATTATGCGTACCATTTTCTCGCCCACAAAAACTCCCACCTATAATTCTCATGCTTGTTTGCTTGTGGTAATAACTTTAGGAGCCACAGAAAACTGGTGTTCTGTTTCTACTTACCAATCCTCTTCTATCCAAACTCTGAGATTAGGTCTTAGCTTTCACGTATTTTAGTGTTCATATTTATTAGAAGTCTACCATATGAATAAAGCTACTATAAACATCTTACGAAGTTTTTTGGTGTGTGAACGTAAGTTTTCAACTCCGTGGGGTAAATACCAAGGAGAACAATTGCTGAATTGTATAGCAAAAATATGTTTAGTTTTGTAAGAAACTGTCAAATCTCTTCCAAACTGGATGTGCCCTTTGCACTCCCACCAGCAAATGAATGAGGGTTCCTGTTGTTCCATATCCTTGACAGCATTTAGCGTTTTCAGTGTCCTGGATTTTGGCCATTTTGCCCATGTTGTTTTAATTTCCTTTTCCCTGATGACATAGTGACCATCTTTTCACATGCTTATTTGCCATGTGTATATATTCTTTGGTGAAGTGCCTGTTAATGTCCTTGGCC